ATAGAGAGTTTGTGAAATACCTATACACTGTAGTAAAAAGCTAGTGGGAAAGAAAGGCCCCTCATATCTATGTCTAGATGGATACGATAAAGCAGTGAAGGGCCATATCTTAAATTACCTTCTAGTTACAAATATGTCACTTAAAAAAATTACAGTATGTCCATGTAGAGGAGGTTGTAATCTTAATTTACTTACTGCATGTGAATTATGTTATAACTTATGTTAATAAAAGAATGAAGATTAACAGTGATGTTTGAAATGGAAAATAAAGAAGTGTACAAGTGTATAATATTCAGATGAATAATGGATGTGACATTGTAGCTGAATACCCAAAGCAAGCTTCAGTCTTTACTCAAGACTTTGTGAGAATCTTGTTATAACTGTTGAGATTTCTACTTGATTCATCCTAACCTTTTTTTTATCAGACATTTATGGAAGAAATGTTGATGCCAGAGGCCACACTGTGTTAGGGTAACCTCATCTCTCAAGGTTCATGGTTTGTGGTTTTGACTAATTGTCTGCTCATTTTTCATTTGCATACGACTTCGTATGTCATTTCATACGGGGCAGCTGGCAAATTATAATTTCCTGGACAGACAAGCCTCTTTATTCCAGAAAGATGACACCGATATTCTGCTATTAACCTATAAATTAGAGTGGAAGTGGAATCACAGTCTCTACAGATTCTAAAATGGACTGAGTGCTTCAGGCATTTGACATACAGTGGTGAGGATTTATGAAAATGTGATTGTGTGGTTCTTTATCTTACAGTACATTCCCCCAAAAAGTTGCACACTGAACTCGTGGAACATCTTTTCAGGTTTTCAAACTGTAAATATCTTTACCACCTTATGCAGTACTTGGAGCACTGGGAAATGTGTAATTATTAGATCACCGGATTCTTCTCATGTACATTTATTTCATGAAGTACACATCACTCAGTGCCCAGTCTTTACTAAACTCATTCTTCACAAACCACTCAGTATCTCATTAAGACACACTGCATTGTACCACTGCACTCAAATCTGCGTGAGTTGTGTGTTCAGCCTTCATACAGTAAATGCATGCTTTGTATGCAGTATGTGATGTTTTTTGTACTTGTGCAAATGTTTTTATGGATGATTGTGGCTGAAATGGAAAGCAGAATTTAGTCTTTTCAAATGCATCCAGTGCCTGTCATGAATGGATCAGTAACAAGAGAGGATGTGCTGTATATTCATATAACACTTTGGAAATGTTTGTAGTATTTGTGCTGGCTTTTAAAAGTTTTTTTTTTTTTTACAAGACCTAGCTATTTGTGCTAAAATGCTACTTCAACGTTCCCTGCAGCTGACACACTCTGACACTTGTCCTCCTGCAAAGTGATAAAATATTACAGTAAGCTGCAAGCCTCTCTGTGTTAGAAGATTGAGTAGCGTTCTTGTATTGCTCTTGGTTTCCCGTTTCCACATGTGGTTTATTATTCTTCTTTTTGGCTTGCATATGTGCCAACTTTACAACTCCCTCACTCCTACACTCCAGTCACCCTCTGTTAGGAGTTACAGTCAAGAGTGCAGGGCATGCTGTCTACTGAGTCCCCCGTCTGCCATCTGCTCAGGAAGGGGTTGGAGCCTGAATTACCACTGCCAAACCTTCATCACCTTAAATTAATGATTTCCATCTACTTGCACTCATACCAATGCCATCTTAAAAGTCAACTTTTGATGATAAGCATGGCTTGCATTATTTTTCTTGGCAATGTTCCCAATGACTACTCTGTATTAAACGTAGCAGGCTCCCTGCTGCTGAGTATTAAAGCACCAGAGCGTGATATGAGCTTCTTTCTTCCAGTTAGTACTTTCTTAAAAGGATCCATTTATAAGAATAAGCATTCTAATCAATTGGTGAGGTTTAACTCTACTGTAATCGCTTGCCAACTGTGATCCAGAGCTAACACTTGCAAACAATTATGCTAGCGGTACCTAGGGGCTCCATCTGATTGGTCTGTTTGCCTTGCGCTGTCCTTGGAGATCCTATAGTAATTGAGTCGGCTCCCTGGCTGATGGCTTGTGAGCTGCTTTTATAGCTCCAGCGGTTCCAACTTTCTGTTGATGTGCGGCATTATTAAAACCAGACCACAAGTGGGGAATTACGTTAGGTTATAATGCGCTGCACTGTGTGGTATCCCACTGTTCCCCTGCCATCCCTGTCACTGTCCTATGCAGACAGACGCCACTCCTGAAGCAGGCAGTTTTCCTGCTGGCAGCCCTCCCAGAGTCTGTAGAAGCCATCCTCCTTCCCTCCAACCCCCTACCTTCCCTCTGAGCACCTTTCTGCCAAAGGGTCTGTTTGGCTCATGCTCTGGCTCAAACACACATCAAAGAACAAGTCCAAAGATACTTTCAAAATGGTGTGGTGCTCTTGTTTCAGCTTGAGGTTTGACATCACTCTTAGAATTTAGATATGAACTGCTGTGGCTTGACAGTAATATTAGTAATGAATGTGGAAACTGCTGTGTTTATTAGCAAGATATTTCCCTTCTAACTTAATAAATTTAAATTTTTAACTCACAGTGTTGGAATGTTTAAACAATAGCATGTTTTCTTCTCTGCAGGTGATTGCGACAGATGCAGATGGCGGCTCCTTTGGTTCCATTACCTACTCCCTTGGCTCTGGCATTAACAGTGCTGTCCCCTCTCAGTTCACCATTGGCAAGGAGACTGGCCAGATCTGCACTAATGGTGTATTAGACAGAGATAAAGGCCCAGCCAGCTTCGACTTTACTGTTACTGCAATGGATGGGGTGAGCCACCTCACTCTGAAATAATGCTCAATATGAATGTACTGAGCCGTTCTAGTCATAAACACAACAGCCATTCTTTTCATACAGACAGGTGAGCAAAGACATCACCAACTATGCAGAAAGTCTTTGTTCTGCGCCAAGTAAAACTATTTAAGTTTGAATGTGTCTCCATGGCAGACTTTCTCAAAAGTTAGTATAGCATCCTGTTTATGCCAAATAAGACCTATAAACAAGTAAACAGCTAAAAGCAAAAGAATATTATTGTGCCCATGTTAAAGCAGTCAGATGGAGAAATGCCTAAACTGGCAGGCACTAATATTTGAACAAGCTGGACTGCTGCCTCCCTCATTTTTGCCACCTGGTCTAAACGAAAAGCCTGCACTGTAGTTTCTGTAAATGAAGACTATGAAACTGATTGTTCAGTTGCAGCAAGCACTCTCACCCTCCATGGGTCATGACATATTGTGCTTTCCAGAGGGAAACTATCAATCTGTATTCCTGGACAAACCTGCTGGGACTATATTTTAGTGGGTATGCTCTACACTGAAATTTACTGCTGGTTTTAACTTGCACTATTAATGTGGCCACAATCCTGCATTCAGGTATGGTTTTTCTGTTCACGATTTAGTGTATATAAAGGTATTACAAAAGGGCTTTTTGTTTCCTCTGCAGGGTGGACTGAGTTCAGTAGCCTATGTAAAGGTAGATCTGGTCGACATTAATGATAACAGACCTACCTTCTACCCAGTAAGCTATGCTGTCAGTCTGAGCACACAGAGCGCCCCTGGGACATCTGTTGTCAGAGTGACGGCCCATGACCCAGACTCAGGCGAGAATGGCAGAATTACATACAAAACGGTCCCTGGTGGGGGCTCCCCATACTTTACGCTCAACAAAGACACAGGTTGGCACAAATACTTTTCAAGATTTCGATTATTTAAGGAACTGATTGATTTTATCCTGCATTTTCCTCCTGCAATTTGATCACATTATTGTCTTACATGATTTGTAATGTGTGATATAAATATATCCAGTTTGACCTGTGTTTGCGACCTTTTTTGTAGGTGTTATCTCCCTGTCTAGGTCTGTCTATGGGAAGGCCAACTCTGTCATTCCCATGGTAATCTCTGCTCAGGATGGTGGTGGTCTGGGCACCATCATCAATGCCAGAGTCAACATTAGCATCGTGGCAGGTCTGGTGGCACCACCTGTGTTCGAACAGGCTCAGTACTACTTCACTGTGTCAGAGGATGTCCTGCGGGGGACAGTCGTAGGCGTCGTCCAGGCCAGCAGTAAAACAGGTGAGGACACATGCCCTTCTCCTTCTTCTTTGTCACTTACTGTACTCACTCATTCACTAAATTTGAGTCCCCCAGGTCGTGTGGAACAGTTCAGTATCAGTTACACTGGATTGTGTTGAAAAGCATGCAACACTTGTACAAATAGGCGTCAGGCCTCTACACACAGCTAGTTCTGAAATAACAATTTCATTTCACAACTTTGTTTATATATTCATTTTTAGGATTCTGTTACAGTTATGAAAATAAAAAAAAAGATATCTTTGGCATATACTCTTAAGTGCTTTGCCTCCTCAGCCATGATGTGTCTCTGGTTTTCGTCATCTTTCTCTCTTTCCAGGCACCTCTAGAGATATTTCTTATGCCATCAGTTCTGGAGACCCCACAGGCTACTTTACAGTGGACACTGACACTGGCGCCCTAAGGACCAGCCTGCCTCTGGATCATGAAGCGCTGTCAGCTCTTGATTTGGAAGTGCAGGCCCGCAATGGCAACCCCCCTGCCTTTGGCCAGACTCGTGTCCACATTACCATTGCAGATGTCAACGATAACCCACCAATTTTTCTGCCTGCCTCCTCGGAATCCTTGCTGCTGCCAGAGCACACAGAAATAGGCACAGTTGTATATCGGGTCCAAGCTGAGGACAAAGACTCTGGAGTTAATGGACAGCTCACCTTTGACCTTTCTTCTCCAAGTGGAATCCAGAGGACCTTCAGCACAGAGCGCAGCAGTGGAGAGATCCGATTGGTGGGGAGCCTCAACTATGAAAACACTCCCCGTTATGACCTCCAGGTTATTGCCAAGGATAGTGGAGTACCGCAACTTAGTGCTACCTTCATGCTTGTGGTTCATGTCCAGGCAGAGAATGACCAGGGACCTGTGTTTGATACACTCACCTACCGTGTGGAACTAAAAGAAGGGACTCCGATAAACACACGCTTCCTGCAAGTCAGAGCTCTGAGCAGAGAAACCTCTGGCTCAGCTCACTTCAGTGCCTTAGTGTATCACCTGCGTCCAGATGGAGATGCTGCAGGGTTTGGTATTGCTGCAGACAGTGGGTGGCTTTTTGTGAAGAGTGCCCTAGATAGAGAAGTCAAGGACATGTATCTTCTAACAGTGCTGGCCAGTGCAGGTCATGGGCATTTAAAGAAGACAGGCAGTGCCACGGTGCGGATATCAGTGACTGATGAGAATGACAACTCTCCTCGGCTCACGCAGGAGAAGGTCTTCATGGCTGTGAGAGAAAACCTGCCTGCAGGAACAGGCTTCGGTCATGTGTCGGCCACAGACCGAGACAGTGGACTTAATGGACGCCTCAGCTATCGCTTCCTGCACCCTGACCGCCACTTCCAGATAAACACTCACACAGGTTAATTGAAATTTTTATGTGTTAAGTTTAATCACAGCAGCAGTCACAGCTGGTTTATTGGATTGCTGTCTTAAAGCAACAATGTGGATTGAATGGTGTGGTGGGTTGTTTTTTTTTTTTGCCGACTGCCTTATTGTGCTCTAATAAAGCTGCTGAAAAGCATCACTCCTAATATTATTTGCTAAATTTTCTTTTTTTAGATTATGTGAAATATGTCCTCAAATCAATTTAGATCATGCCTGATCCAAACATTCAAAATGATCAGTTTTTTACACTAGTTATATTTTTCTCTAGAGTGCGCACACACCAAAACTAAACCGAAATAACAGCAAGTCGCTCATTTCTATGGAAAAGAAAAACAAGCTATCATGATATCACATCAAACATTTTTATTGTTTCATCAAAAAAATTGAAATTGTTTGTAGAAAAAAAACTCACATCAGTGCTTATTCAATCCACTGAGTCGTCTCTAATAGATGACAGATGACAGTTGTCTCTTCCCCACTATCATAAATTAGTCAGATGATCATGACAGCAGCACCAAGCATCTCGCTGGGCTCTAATTGGCCTGCTGAGCCTGTTAGTCTTTGGGTAGAACTCAGACTATGATTTGTGATCTGTTTCTGGCTGAGTTGTGTCTCTACAGCATCTGCCAACCTTTCAAAATTTCTTTATTTGGGGTATGAGAGAGTGTGTGTGCACATGCACATCTGCACACTGTGCACATCTATTACCTGTGTTTCATTGATCACAACCTGCAGAGTCTTAAGTCTCTCATCAGTATTCTACTGTTACAGAATAGTGCCATGGCAAAATATAGCTAAGTATCATCCACCCCCTTCTCTCCGTAGGTGAGATCAGTACAAAGATGATTCTGGACAGAGAGCAACAGTCTAGTTACCAGCTGCTGGTGGTGGTACAAGACGGAGGGTCACCCCCACGAAGTGCCACAGGCACAGCCTTCATCACTGTCCTGGATGACAACGACAATGACCCTGTTTTTACCCAAAGCCAGTCAGGCAAAAACTTCATCATACAGGTATGTCACAAGACTAGAAACACAGACAACAAGAAAACAAATTGCTTTTCATGGCTTTAGTGCTATCTATTTTTTTTTCCACCCACAGGTGACAGAAGGTCAGTCTTCTGGTTATTTACTGAGCACACTGCAAGCCAAAGACCCCGATGAAGGGGAGAATGGCACCATAATCTACTCTTTGTCAGGTATAGTACAGTATCTGCGGGCAGTGAGGAGAGATCTTATATGTGCTAACTAATTACTAAAACATTTATTACGTGTGTGTAAGTAAGCTCCACAGAGTGGTTTAAGAAACTGGTAATTCTCAGTGAGGTGTCCTGATATTTGATGAAGAGAATGATGTATATCAGGACACCTTGACGGGCTTATTGTTGTTTTATTGTTTTGTATTTTTTAAACATATTTTTTTTTGTTATTGTTGTTTTTGTATTTATTTTCCAGTGTTGTATCCTTGCTATTTAGGCGTGCTTAACATTGTTCTTTTAGTTTAAAGCACTTTGTAACTGTGTATCATTGAAAAGTGCATGCAAATACAGTAAACAAATGACACTGATTTGCAACATCTGTCACTTCTATCTGAAAATGGCTTTGATTTAATGGTGACAAACTGCTACAACAGATTTGCTGGGTTTGTATATTTACTGTAGCCTTCCCACACACATCTCCAGTTAAACTCTGTTTCCTTTAGGTCCCAGGGCTGAGCGTTTCTCTTTGAATCCAAACACTGGTGAGCTGCGTTCATCATCCCCTCTTAGCCATTCAGAGCGGGCCCAGTACACTCTGATGGTGACAGCTACTGACAGAGGACTGCCCCCTCGCAGCACCTCCTGCTCCCTCACCATTCAGGTCAGGCTTCCACTGGAGACCAGCCAGCAAACACCCTCACTACACACCTATTTAATATCAAAGAATAGACTCAGGGCTGAGAGGATCCATGTCTCTGGGCCCCTCAGACTAGTTGTAGACATATCAGCCTCACTTCTGACAAGCTTCCCTCCCATCCCCTCCCTTTTCTTCCCCTGTGAATTTTCAAAAGAGGAATTTCTATCTGCAATGGAAAAGTGGGCCTGAATGAAATGCTCCCAGCTGGCTTGTGATGAGGCCCAGCTGTAGACTGTTCTAATCAAGGTCATACTCACTTTTTTTAATACAGTAGCCTTTTTTTTATCAAAGAGCGGCAGGACTACAATATAGAACACAGCTCTGAAGGTAATTCACTTAATATTTAATACAAAAAATGGACAAAATGGAAGAATCCAGGAAGGAAGGTAAATGTTTAGGTTCCTAGAAAATACAGTTGCCATATAAACAGTTTTTTTCAGGAATATTCCTTTTTCATCTAACTCGGAACTGATTTTACTATAAACACAGCATATTTTTGAGTGCCCACTTACTGTAGGAACTGCACTGTAGGATCCAGTACTGAGGATCCAGGTCACCTCTTCATCTTACTAAACACTGTCAGTAATGCTGCTGAAAATTTGAGCAACAGTTGTTCCTTCTCCCTTTCCCTTTTACAGCTGCTTATACGTTCTCAGTCCATGCTTGTCTCAAAAAAGAAAAACAAAACAAAAACATTTCTTTTGAAACTGTGTTATGTACAGTTTTACTTATGGTTCTCTTCATTTAATAATGTTGAAGATGCTTGATCTACCCCTTGAAGGAAGTGTGAAGCTATATACAGTCCAGTAATATGACCCCTCTCACCATTTCCTCCTCTGATTGTGCAGCTTTTGTCATTTGTTGTTTTTCCTGGCAGCAACATACATATCAGATAGTGATTAATGCTAGCAGGCATGATACTCAAGTCTATAAAAACCTCATGTAACTGGTTTCATTTATTCCCAGTGAGCACATGCAGTGCAAGAAAGTTGAGCTTACAAAATCTGCTTTTGCTTTTCCTGAAATGCATGAAATATTTTGATTCTTTTTATAGAAAATTGTAAACTTAAGTTGCCACTGGGCATCTAAATGAAGTATCAGATCTATTGTCATCTTGCTCTGTCCTCAAATACACATGCAATGTTTTTCTTTATTGCAGGTTCTCAGCATTAACAGACCTACTTCTAAGATCAATTCACTTGTCGTAACGTTCAACTCTGTTGAAGAGGCCAAGCCCGGTTCTGTTGTTGGTTCAGTCCGCCTTTATGATGAAGAAAACCCAGAGAAAGGAGAGGTGACATACACGGTGGTTGGGGGTACGGATCGAGATGGCACCTTTGTCGTGGACCGTCTGACGGGAGATGTGTACCTGGCTCGTCCTCTTGACTATGAACAAGATGCACGCTACACCCTGCAGATTGAGGTAGATGACTTCTCTCAAGCCCCTCCTAGCAGCACCTTGGTCCACCTGGACATTGTTGTAGAGGACAGCAATGACCACGCCCCTCAGTTCCCTGAAGACCCCATCACCATCGTCATCTCTGAGAGCATAGAGACTGGCTCTTCCATCTATACTTTCCAGGCCATAGATAAGGACGGCAGTGGGCCCAACAGTGAACTGAGCTACTCCATTCTCCAGCAGTGGCCAAACACCCCTGGCCTACTAACCCTCAACCCTTTCACTGGTGTTCTCTCCTTGGGTCAGGAGCTGGACCATGAGCTTACTTCCAACCTGATACTGGTTGTAAAGGCAACAGACTCTGCCCTTGATGCCAGCCAGAGGCGCTGGGGTTCTGTCACGGCAAGGGTGTATGTAACTGATGAGAATGACAATCCACCAGTGTTCAGCTCGCCAACAGCTGTCAGCGTGATGGAGGACCAGCCAGTGGGCTTTGTGGTGCTGTATGTCATTGCCAGAGATGCAGACCAAGGCGAGAATGGCAGAGTGACCTACAGCATCCAATCAGGAAACACTGGAGGAACATTCAACCTCAACCCCAACACTGGTAAGTCCAGCCAAGTGCCAGTGCAGGAGGTAGTGTGTGCTCTGTGTTGTAAGGCACAAGTTAATAGTGGAGAATTGGTGATGGATGGTGACATAGAGTAAATACTAACAGGCCAGTTTGCATCTCATCATGCCCAACAATTAGTGTGAATTTTTACTAACCAAAGTTAGTCTTTTATTAAACATAACTATACTGTGGCTGCCAGATATTGCTGTTGTTGTTGAAACGAATCATTTAAAGAATAGTGTCACTGAATATAATTGGAGGTATTGCAAAAGCACTCATATTCTGTTGGGTAATGGCATTGCATAAGTCATACATCTGAGCACATGCACTGTACATGCAGTTCTGGATAAAAGTGATACACACAGTACATTAGCAGTATACAGTAAATTTATCACGTTAGAATGAAATAGTGGCTTTTTTTTTTTTTTACAATTGCAAATAACAAATGACTAAAATCCATTTTCAAGATATTATCAGAAAAGGTCTTTTTGGACTCTCAGTGGCTTGTTTTTCACCAGGCTCACTTCTTTTTGGTCCTGTTTCTTCATATAAATAACACTAGAATTGCCATCTTGTTCTCTGTGTATTTCCAGCACCTGTTAGGAATTTCAGCAGCTAAGCATTACTGTGTCATGCAAATCCTTTGATCAAGCTGAAACATTTTCAGTTCAAGTGAACAAGCAAATCTGTATGTGTTCAACTCTGTTTGGGTCATTTCATGGACTTTTTAAACATTTGTGCCACCTCTAAATATTATTTTGCATTGTATGTGTGCTCACCTTTCCCTGTGCTTCCACATACCGCACCACCACAATCACCAAACCTCCCCCTCCATAAACACACACAAACTCTTGTAATACTTCGCTTACTTCTAAATACACCACAATTCTTGCTTCACCTTTCATGACTTATTTCTCTTAGTTGGAGGCCAGACAGACAGAACAGCCTGCCAAATATTGCACACACACATACACACATACTGTAAGTGCACAAGCACACGCACACAACCCATCATCTGTTATTGTGGATCTATTCCCATGAAAGACCAAAGAACCTCCTGGTCGGGCTTCTGGGAACCATTAGAGAGGGGATCAGTTACGCATGTTTATGTGTATACTAGTGTGCTTTTGTGTGTGTGTGTGAGTGTAGGCATGCACAGATGTGTTTGTGTGATTATATGAGACTCTGTCGCTTAGTCAAAACTGACCTTGGGCTATTTGGTCCCGTGGGCTTTGTTGTGATGTTTGAGACACGTGTCGATGTTGGCTCCACCTCCTCGTTCAAGTCACCAAGCAGGATGCTTCTTGGAATAACTCAGTGATGGAAGCACTCAGTGTCTGTCATGCATGTCATTTAGGCTTCAGCCCAGTATGTACACTCATCTTGAAGTGTTTTCATGCACTCTGGTTATTTGTTAGAATAATGACAGAGTTAATCTTTTGAGCACCTGGTTTGCTCCTGTTTTGGGATCAGTGACCAGAGACCTGGGACTATCTCTGCACACTCTCTTTTTATTACTTTGGCATTGCTTCTACCCACAAAAGACAGAACTGTCAAGCTGTTGTTAGTAATCTATGAAGTCACAGGGTGAGACACATTTTCATCACTCATTGTCAGATGAGAGATCATTAATTTCACTTTTGGAGCAAAGGGAGAGTGCACTGGTGATATGGTGAATTATGTCTCTGCAGAAGACAACCCCTTTCAGGGATTAACACATCAAATGTTGATAAATGGCTTCTGTTGTCTGTGCAACCTCAGCTAACCCTCATACTGCAATCCAAGTGTTGGCGCCACAAACCCCATATAAGCTTTAGTTGATGGAATTGAAAACATTCAAAATAAAAACATTCCCCTGTTTCCCACTGTCTTTTTTCAGCCCATATGTTATCAGTGACCAGGGATCACAGAGGAGTCAAATTAGGTGAAAATATTCCAGACAGTAACTCCTACCAGATTAAAAGCTTAGGGGGAAGTTATCTCAGTGCTAACAAGATACAAAGCGAAAAACATGCACTAAAAATGTTAAAATCAAAACAGCCCTGGTCCCTTTTTTCTTTAACGGTTGCAGTTCATTTGAAGTCATGAAACTGAAATTGAATCAGTGCAAGCTCTACCCTTTTAGGTCAAGATGATGAAATGCCAAGGGTGCCCCTAATTTCTACGGAGCACGACAAGTCTGGCTGTTGCGTGTCTAGAGACTGTGTTTATTGCTTCTTCTGAATGGCTGCGGCATTCTCAAGCAGAAACTCGTGTAAACTGTGGCCAGCAATGGTGGTGGTAGCACTCAGGTAGGCAAAGCTGTGCGTGTGAAGGAGATCAGCTCTGATTTGGCCCTCACACGGCAACTTTTTACACTTGCTTTTTAAATCACTTGACTACACACCACTGTGGAAGGTGGTGTTTTATTGCCTTTGATAACATGCTTTTGTACTGTAGCTGTCCTGTGTAACTGCCTGTGTGAAACAGGCTGTAATAAAGTTCACCCGCACAGACATACACACAGGCGATCTCTTCTCACATTTCGCCCCTGATTCTTCTCGTTACAGGCTCTCTGTCTATTTTCAAACCTCTGGACCGTGAGGAGCTAGACATCTTTAACCTCACAATAATCACTGAAGATCATGGGATACCCCAGCACACATCAAGCCAGCTGCTGTGTGTACATGTGATTGATGTTAATGATGAGGTGCCATGGTTTGAAGAGAGCCAGTACAACGCCCAGATTTCTGAGAACCAACCTCCAGGAACTAGTGTCTTGACAGTGTCCGCCTCTGATCTGGATGAAGGTGAAGTCTACAACATGTACTCACTTAGTTACTGCAGCTTCTGTTCATGTAATCAGAATTTTTAACCAACAATGCATTCCAAATGAGAACTGATGTGATAATTTGCCATTTAAAATACAACTGAGTAAAAACTGTGCCACATCTGGTGACAGTTGATGTTTAGACATCTATGTTACCATAACCTTTGTTTCTATGTCATTTAAACAACTATACTTTGATGTGAAACAGGTTCTACTGTAATTACTTGTTGAAATCTAATCATAGAAATGCTGATTACACAAAATGTGCATGCAACCTAGACATCTAAAACTTTTCAACAAACATTTCTGGTTTTAACGAAGACACGTAGTTATCTTTTGGACTCCAGATTACCTAAATCATGCTGTATGTACAGTATGTGTGTGTGGATTATGTCTTAACAGATAGTGTGCTGCTTTATCAGTTAAGACAAACAAAAATGAATGTGCTCTCTGCCTTCATGTGCTCAGCATGAGTTCACATTATAGATATTAAGTTGTTTTTAATTGAGGACTACACAGGAGTGTAGGGGTTGGAACATAAAGTGCACATTCTCATGGACTTAGTCAGACGTACATTAACCAGAAGGATTATAAACACTCTCTCCAAAAGCAATTAGTGAAGTAAACAGGTAAAGTTGCCAGACTGCTCTGTGCTAACATGCAATCTGGTGTCCAGATATGTGAGGGAGGGCCGTCGCTGCCAGATGCTTAGACTGCAAAACTAATGACAAGCAAATAAGTATACAAAGCTATTAGCAGGATAAATCAAAACTGCTGTTTTTATCAAGTATTTACAGGTCATAGGAAGCTTTGGTGACATTCTGTTAGTGGTTTAAATTTTTTTGGGGTCCATTTTTGAGATAAAGCATAGTCACTATCTATATTTTACTGTAGGAACCAATGGACAGGTGGCATATGGTGGTATCTCAGAGAAAGGTTTCAGCATCAACCCAGTGACCGGTGTCATAACCACCACTAAGCAGCTGGACCGGGAGCTCCAGGAGTACTACACTGTGACAGGTACTTCCCTGGTTGTCCTACACAATCACAGATGAAACATGGCTATTTATGACATGCCATAATAGATATGTAATATAAATTAATAGAGTGGCATTCATTATCTTAAATGGCCATTGGTTTGTGTATCTCTCTTCTATTTTGGCAGTTTATGCAAAAGATGGAGGCCTTCCACCCAACTATGCTAAAGCTACTGTGAGAATCAGAGTGCTAGATGAGAATGACAATCCTCCTGTCTTTGGACGTCTCTACTACAGCATAGAGGTACCTGAAAACCTGGAGGCATTGCCTCTATTCACCCTCAGAGCCACTGACCCAGATGCAGGAGTCAGTGGGGACATAAACTATAGAATTACAGGTAAGAGGTTTTTCTTGCCAGTCAGTCTGAAAAACAGTCAGCTCAACTGCTACAATTTTATATGTTTATAACTCTGTGGGGGTAGTGTTGCTACTCAGAAAGCCATTTGCCACTGCTTTCCTTGCAGCTGGAGATCCATCTGGGGACTTCCGCTTGGACACACGGTCAGGTGTGCTGTCCACTTCAAGGCCTCTGGATCGAGAAAAGAGGGCTGTGTACATGCTAATTGTCACAGCTCAGGACCAGGGCCACCCACACCTCAGCAGCACTGCCACTGTGGAGGTGATTGTTCTGGACATCAATGACCACAGCCCCCAGTTTCAGAGCAGCAGCTACACTGCAGATGTTTCAGAAGATGTTCCCATTGGGTCACTGGTCCTGGAAGTGAAAGCCATTGATCTGGACCAGGGCCCCAACAGCCAGGTGCTGTACTTTCTGAGCCGTGGCTCCCAGAGCATGTTCATCATAGATGAGAACACAGGCCGCATTATGACAGCAACACCCCTAGACCGAGAGAGAACTGCCTCTTACACCTTTGAGGTGTGTGCCACCGACTCCTCCCCTGCAAACCCACGTAACTCCTCTGTTCAAGTCATTGTCTATATTCAGGATGTGAACGACAATGCTCCCTTTTTCATTCAAGACCCACTTATTGTAAACATCTCAGCCAGCAGTGTGTCTAGCCGTCGAGTGCTGGCTACCATGAGGGCGGAGGACAAAGACTTTGGGGCTAATGGTTCTGTTTTCTATCGTTTTGCCAACCCTGTGAGGGGATTCACCATTAACTCGCTGACAGGAGACATCCAGGCCACAGAGAAGCTGCAGACTCTGACGCAAAGCCAAAGGACTTTGATAGTTCAGGCCATGGACCAGGGCAACCCAGCTCAGTCTTCCTTGGGGGTGGTTATCATTTATATCAGGGAACAGAGCTACAGGGGGATTCGCTTCTCTCGCACAGCTAGAGATGTCAGTCTGCAGGAGAACACTGCTAAAGGTTTGAGTGATATCATAACAGTTCAACTTTTTACTTGAAAATGTGTGAAAGTCTAAATAAAATGTTCCAACAGAGTGTATATTTCATTTTACAGGCACAGTAGTAACACAGACTCAGGCCCAGTACCCTGATGGCTCTCAAACTGGTATCAGCTACAGTATTTTCAGTGGAAACAGAATGCAGTCTTTTGGGATTAACCCCATTACTGGTAAATGCAGAGATGGCAACATACACCACACAATGAGGTTTTCCAGATGTACAATGTGACTCATTGCTGTTTTTGTGAATTAGGTGAAATATGGGTCGAGAAATCAGAAGGACTTGACTTTGAGGAGACCCCGAAACTCCGCCTGGTGGTGAAAGCTGAGACGGCATCCTCCAGCTCCTACATGGCTGTCAACTTAATCCTGCAGGATGTTAATGACAACTTACCACGCTTCCAGCTCCAGAACTATGTAGCCTACATTAGAGAAGCACAAGGCTATGATTTTCCCATTATCCAGGTGCAGTAGCCTGCCCATCACATGTTTATTATGGTTGGCTGTTGTTTAAGTGTGAAGTTGTAGAGTAAAAAAAGCACACAAGCTTCAGAAATCTGGATAGTTTCAGTGCTGTAGAGAAATAACTGTTCATTTGCCTGTGCTCTCAGGTTCTCAATGGCCCACCTAAATAAATAGAACCATTTGCACTTTGAAGCCATATAGCCCATTTTTATGACTTCACTTCCACATCCAATTTTGCTCACTAGTTCATGTTACACTAAAACAACAAATGCAGATATTTCTGTATTTTCATTTACAAAGTGGGGTGGTCATTTTCACAGGTTGCAGCAGATGACCTGGACCAGGGTCAAAATGGTCAGGTGACCTACTCAATCAGGTCATCATCCATGAGTAGCTTGTTTAAGATAGATCCACTGACCGGCAGCATCACCACTGCAGCCATAATGGACCGGGAGATCTGGACACAAACAAAGTGAGTTTTCCTCTTTTTCTCTTTGTTGCTAATCACATCCTGCCATGTGGTTCCTCTTTGGCTGATCTCAACCCTTGACACATATGTTTAAATGTTTGTTAATATTTCTTACTGTCATAATATTCATTGCCTCTCACAAACAACGTTCCTGTTTTTAATGGAAAAGCTACTTTTTTTTTCTTGTGCATATTTCCACTTTTAAAAGCAGTATATCAATTTAGACTGACTTTCAGTTGCATTTCTACATTTCTTACTACTGCACTTTAAATTAGGTTCTCTTAACAAGGATAGCTCAGAAAATAGTTTCGGTTTTAGAAAGAGAAAAGAAAGTCTAGAAGCAAATGCAAATGAGCTAATGATCATATGCCAGAGCCACTCAAAGTTATGGAAAAATTATATTCACCCTGCAGATGGTATATTTTTTCACTCATGTTTTTTATTTTTACACATTTTGTTATAGTGATTTTTAAAAAAAAAATGATTTCCTTTTTTTTAATATTGAAAATATGTACTGGTAAATGTGTAGAGTTATCAAAACAATGAGCCTTATTTATTGCTAAAAAGAAATGATCTTTGTGGGGTGGGTGGTGAAACAATATGCCATCAGGTTCATGAAAATGGACATTTTATTTTGTGGCACCAGACTTGTTGTTACAGCCACAGACCGGGGAACCCTGCGACTGGCTGGGTCTGCCACCCTCACTGTGATTATCATTGACCTCAATGACAACAGTCCCATGATTCCTCTGCCTCGGGAGATCCATGTGCCTGAGGGTAAGTCAGCTTCACAGTGAAAGTTAGTCCTGTGATCTTATCACAAAGCCTCACATCACACTCCCTGGCAGCGCACTCAGCAGAGCTCAGTGAGAAAAGTCTGACCCTGTTATGAAACAAACTGTTGCCAAGTTCCTCTGTTCATTTCCTGTCCCTTAGATCAAGATTATCCAGAACAGGATATTTCTTAATAAAGAGCAAAAAGAGTCTCTTCATGCTTCTAATGTAAATGTCTGCTTTTCTTCTCTCTCCCTACCTTATTATCACAAACATACAGATACTCTGATTGGCACAGTTATCACCCAGGTTACAGGGAATGACGTGGACTCAGGGCCAGCTCTTTCCTATACACTACACCTGGATACAAACAGCCACGGCATGTTTGGAATTCATCGCTATGGAGGAGGAGTGTCTCTGACTGGCCCTTTGGACTATGAGGAAAGGACATGGTACACACTGACCATCCGCACATCTGACTCAAAACATCAAAGTGAGGCCAACCTCACTGTGCTGGTGGATGATGTGAATGATAATGCCCCCACCTTTACTCAAGACTTGTATCAGGTACAGCTACCTTTACACACCTGTCCTCCCACCTGCATACATAATGTATAGCATATTGGCATGTTTGCTGAATTGTTCAGGTATGGATATACAATACATATATCTATATTCTCATCAGGTGACTGTATCAGAGCACCTACCAGCAGGCAGTGCAGTCATCACAGTAACAGCCACTGATCGTGACTCTGGGGAGAATGGGAAGATTACATATAGAGTAATGTCATCATCTAGAGGCATCTTCTACATTGACCCAAATAACGGTAAGATAATTGCGTGCACAATTAAAGCTGTTTATAACCAGTTTCTAACTAGAACTCCCCTTAATTATCCTTCATTACAATGTTAACCCCTAAGGCTGTACTTGGATGCACATTTGGGGTTTGGACATATTTGCAACAGGCACAGCAAAATATTTAATCAATTTGTTCATTAAAAGTCACTGAAAGCCAGATTTAATTGTATTTGCCTCAGATGTTTTGCTTGAAATAGCATCTAAAAATAAATGTGTTATAAAAGAGGCCCTTTTTTGCCTCAAGCTGTTCTGGCTTTTATTCTCTAATGCAATTCCTCTTCCTCAAATAATGTTCCCTCCAACAACAAATCTGCTACCATATTTAAAAAATTAACAAGTTTCATTACTGATTTGAATAATTCATTGCTACTTCTAATAGTGAACCACTCTGGGTAATATCTTTGATGAGCTCTAGACAGGAGATTGACATAAAGTTCCACTTTTATTGACCATATTCTTTGTTTCCTCTCAGGTACCCTGTTTGTCAACCAAAACACAGAGTTTGACTTTGAGAATCCCTCCATCCTGGTGGTCATTGAGGCGCGAGACCAGGGCACTCAATCCCTTTCATCTATTGCCACTGTCCAGGTACAAGTGTCTGACGTCAACGACAACACCCCTGTCTTTCACCAGTCAGAGTATAGAGCCACTGTGTCTGAGGATGGGCTTCCTGGATCAACTGTTCTGACCTTAGAAGCTGTAGACGGAGACCTGTCCAGAGACAACTGTGGTTTTGATTTTGCCATTGCCAGTGGAAATTCAGGTAATGCCTTCCAGATTGAGAGCAGTGTGCGCTTCTTGGAAGGGCGGGGCTTCCAGACGGTCGGCAGCCTGATTCTGGTGGGTGAACTGGACTTTGAAGTAGTGCCAAGTTATAATATGACTGTTGTGATATCAGATCGTGGAATCCCTCAACGTAGCTCCAGCGTGCCTATCCTTGTCAGTGTTTCAGATGCCAATGACAACCCTCCAGCTTTCAGCCGAGCAGAGTATAGTGTGGTGCTGAGTGAGGCTGCAGTAGCAGGGACAGAAATCTTACATCTGTCTGCCACAGATCCAGATTCTGCTCCCAATGGAGAGGTGCAGTACTCGATAAGCTCAGGGGATGAGACTGAGCTTTTCCAGGTGGATCGGTGGACTGGAGCCCTGAAGCTGCAGAGACCTCTGGACAGCGAGAGACGGTCATTCCATATGATTGTTGTCCAAGCTACTGATGGTCAAGGGCACTATGCTTTGGCCCCGGTCAGTGTCGAGGTGAAGGACATCAACAATAACCGGCCGTTCTTTCCCCTTAAATTAGTAACTGCAAGCATCAGGGAAAACCAACCCCAGAATGCCTTAGTCACCATGCTGCATGCAATCGACCATGACAGAGGTGCTTTTGGACAGCTGAAGTACTACATGTTAGACAGCTCTAAAGACGGAAGAGAGGCCTTCCTCATCAACCAAACTTCAGGAGAAGTGCGGACTCGCTCTAGTTTTGACTTTGAGAAGATAAATTCTTTCAGTTTTGTGGCTGTTGCCATGGATGCTGGCAACTATTCAGCTACTGTAACATTGCAGGTTTATGTTACTGGGGAGGATGAATATGATCCTGTTTTCACCTCCTCAGAGTTCTCATTTGAAGTGCCTGAGGGAGCAAAGAAAGGCCAGATCATAGGTAAAGTACAAGCCAAAGATGAAGATGGAGGTGTGGATGGCATTGTTCTCTACTCTCTACGAGACAATTCACCTTACTTTGAAGTCAATAAATCAACAGGAGCCATTTCCTTAAAGATGGATAGCTACAGTAGACACATGAGTCGCTCTAAAAGAGAGGTGCGTCTAATGACAATGGACGTGACTGCTCATAGCCCTCTGGAGACCTCTCGCATAGCAGTGGCCAAAGTTACTGTAGATGTGACCCATACTTCTTTTGGCCTTACCACAGACATGAATACGCTGATTATCAGCGTCATTGCAGTTTCACTTGGGGTCATTGTTATACTAATAACTATTGCTGTGGCTCTATTTTTTGTTAAATTACTACGTCAGAAAAGGGAGCAAAAAGTGTGTGGACGAACACCTACATCAGGCACCATGCTGCACAAGTTTGAAGAAACTAAAATAGCAGCAGATGAGATGATTTACCATCAGGCCCTCCCTGGATACACTGCTGCTCATGGTAGTAGCAGTGGGGGTCCATACACTCGTGGTGGATCCCTGGATCCCTCCCACTCCAGTGGGCGTGGCTCTGCAGAGGCAGCAGAGGACGATGAGATCAGAATGATTAATGAATACCCTAGAGTGTCAAGTATCTCCTCTTCCATACAGGAGCGCATCTCTGCCCGAGGTCCAGACTCTGGAATCCAACAGGATGCCGATCAGCTGTCAGATGTGTCCTGTGAGCCTTCCATAGACTGGTTCAAAGGGAAGAAAGTGGGCAGTCTAAATGGTACTTTACTGACTGGCCAGGTGCCAGTCTATAGGGATGACAGCAGTGGGTATGTGGGTGTAGGACGTGGGCTCAGCATTTCTCATCCTAAAGACTATTCTTTTCCAGAGGATGGAAAGCCTGCTGTTGATGGCTCCCTGACAGCCATTGTGGCCAGTGATGAGGAACTGAGGGGCAGCTATAACTGGGACTACCTGCTAAACTGGTGTCCCCAGTTCCAACCGCTAGCTAATGTTTTTACTGAAATTGCACGTTTAAAAGATGAAACAGCTCCTCCTCATCCTCGCAGGTCATTTCATCACAAAGCAAAGGCAGAGTCAAGAATTGATCCCCCACCTCTCATAACCTCTGTGGCCCACCCTGGGGCAAAAACTGTACCTCCAAAGCCAGCTATAGGGAGGATGTTCCCCCATTTGGCTTCTTTACGAAGATCTCCCATCAGCAGCGAGGGATCAGTCTCTTCATTTGCCATGTCTCCAAGTTTCTCCCCTTCTCTCTCCCCACTGGCAGCACGTTCTCCTGCAGTCACACCCTTCAGTGTCTCACAGGGCCTCTCTGCATCCATGATCAGCACAACCGAACACAATTTGGAACACAGCGAGGAAGCAGAGCTGAGAATTTAATTTCTAAAGACAACTCTTAAGGGTGAATAAAAACGGAGTTATGGCTGTTCCAGACTTATTCTACTGTATGACCACAGAGGCTGCAGCCTGAAAGGATTTCAAGACTATTCTCTTTTTTATGAAGAAGTCCAAATAGTTGAAGTTGCGGTGCTAACTGAAGGTAAAATGAACTACATGACTAACAGGCCAAAATGGAGTTTGCCTTTGTGTGTGTGTGTGTGTGTGTGTGTGTGTGTGTGTGTCAAAACAACTCGTTATTCATCTGTTGATCAGTGTTAATTTGCACATTTGAATGGGGATTCATACATGATGTCAATATTTTGTACAGAAGCATTGTCTATATTTTTATACTTACATGTGGTTTCTGACAAGAAATGGCATTAAAGTGTCAACAGTTGCTAAAACCTCAGAATTTATTTCATTATGTGTATATTTGTAGCTTGTACTGTATACCTTTTGTACTGTAAGTTGGTTTTATCTCTTAATTCTTAACCTTGTGGTTTTAAATGAAGCTATTCATTAATGCTTTATGAATTGGGATTTTTGTAACAGGACTGTTGTAAATATTTATAGAAGAGGAGGCGAGGCATTCTGGCTTAAACAAATTAAACAACAGTCAGAATAGTGTATTGTATGGTTAGATTTTCTACAGATTCAGCGTTTGATCTTGCATCAAGAATTAGTCATGAATGTGAAATATTGAACAGTTGTCTTAGTCCTTAACACACTCCCTTTATTTTCTGCAAAGGAAAATGTAACTTGACATCCAATGAACCTGCGCTTGAGGTGCCCTGGCTTTAATTTCTCACGTCGAGCCTTACTGCTGTTCATTTTGCATTGTGAAAATAATTCATGTGAGGGAGAACACTGAGCAACTGCATGAGTAAAGTTGCTTTCCTAATAATTCCAGAGAATGTGAGCAGGTCCTGTCTACTCATCGCTTTCTCAGTAAAATATTAAAGCTACATTATTTGAGCTCTAAATCTGTACTGTCTTGACCCTGAATAAATTTCCATCCAAATGAATTTTGTTGTATAGATTAACTGACAAGCTGTAATGAATGCTATTTTGGACTACATTTGCCCCCACTTTTCAGTAGCACTCTAAAGAATGATACTATGTGGATTCAAAGTAATACTAAAAATGTTACATGTAGTATGATGGAAAAATAAAAAATGTGTATATTTATGAATGTTCCACCAGAGAATGTTTCCTTGTTACTGAGAAGACATCCATGTATTGTACATGTTTAGCCATAATTCACATGATGCTTATGCCATAAATATATTCACAATCATGATTGTTCTTTGGCAGCTTTTACAAAATAAAATTTGCATTAATAACTACAGAGAGCCCTGCTGTGGCCTAAATGTGGATTCTGCTCTCCTTCCAGTTATTATATAAGCATGTAGTCTGTTTAATATCCAGTTTTAGAGTCTCAATTATTTTAAGCAAAACATCATTGTAAACCATTTTTATTTATTATATAGGCAGACCTCAGAAGCTAAATTGGTATAATTTTCAAGGATGCTATTTTGACAATGGCCAAATTACTTATTTAAGAGAATGAAGGTACCTTATTGTTTGTATTGTCTTGTATTAAACTGTGTTACTGTGCCTGCCACTTACATTTCATGTTTGTTCAAAATGTGTGTATAATGGTGCCACAGAGGAGAGAAACTCCTCCAAATAGTCACACATGTAATTCTAGGCTTGTCCAGACAAATGTTTTGAGAAAAGTGCCTGATTAAAATGCTTAAGTGAACAAATTGTTGCCTTTGTCAAATCTTTCTCAGCTCAGAATACTGTATATGGAGATAATGTGTGGAAATGAATCATATGAGTAGGTATTATGTGCAATTGATATTTAAATGTATTTCAGAGTTATACATTTGGATTTCAACTGCACTATTGCCAAAGCACAAGACATGACCAGCATCTGTGAAGTCTATAAACTGGGGTATTGTAAACACTGGTGTTTTGTTGATTTAAATATCCACACAAGGCTTGACAGTATCCTCTGGCATTCAAGACCTCTGAAGTCTAAATAAAGCTATAGCTACTAGCAGTACCTTGTAACCACAGACTTATTTTTTATAAACAACTCAAAAGTTACTATTGTCCCAGCGGTAATAGGATAGATTGACAAATACAGGCCTCACTTCAGTCCCAGTATTGTCCCAGACTTTTAAAAAATATCTTAAATGAATAATATTTGATTTCATGATAGCCATTAAGTGTTATTTATAACTTGCTAGGTATTAACACAATGACAATACCATAACTTTTTTTTAAGTAATAGCTTCACAGATGCCCTCATTTCCCTTACAATCAGCGATGTGAAGTCACATTTCCTTGAAATTCCTGAACATTTTCCAGCACAAATGAAGACAAACGGTAAGACATTGAAATTGTTTACACTAGAAATCACAAAGAAACCTTTAGTTGCTTCACATGAAAATTCTCAGCTCAACCTTATTCCATTTGTATATTTCTTTGTTCAAATTAGCTCTACAATAATGTGAAGCCATCTCGTGTTTCTGTCCTAATGCCTATTCACTTTTGTGCCACAAAGTATTATTTACCTTGTGTTTTGCAGCTCAAAAGTCATCCATCATGCAACAGTGACCACACAGAACCCCAGGTCAAGTCTCTAATTTGTATTTAGGCATGTGACTGACATTTTCAAAGCAAATTTAAAATTATTATTCCTTCTGCTTTTGCCCCTGGACTTACATTATCAATTATGCTTCTTTAGAAATGTCTGTCTATTTTGTGGTTTCTACCAATTGTCCTCAATTTCTGTCCCCCAGATCATATAATACATAAGAACAGCAGGATAAAGTAAAGAAATGTTGAGAAATGTGTATATCTACAAGTAGGGTTTAGTATTATGAGAGTGTTTTCATATTGTACATAAAAGCTCTGTGTTAAAGACTGAAGCCTATAATCACTTGTCTTACCCCAGCACACTTTTAATTAGCAGAAATTAATGAATGTCAGCAGTGGTACTAAATAGCGTTACTTTTTAGTATTCAAACCCACCTGCAATGCATCACTTTCATAGGCTCACTGTCAAGGCTGGACAACACTCCCGCTGCCTGATGAAACAGAGCTGAAACTGGACTTTGTCAGCTTTAAGGCCTGCCTCTCATTATGGAGCTGAAACCTATATTGCACACATCACACATTCAAACACACAGAGTATTTTAGTCCTTGGACTGGAAATATGGGCTGGGCTTGCTGGATTGTACAGTCCGTTGATGATACACTCAACTTAAGTGTCATAGCAGACTCAGGTTATGAGATAAATACTGTTACCCAAACCAAGTACCTTGGATCAGAGGCCAGTATATACACAGCAGGACTCAGATGATATGAGTAAGAGGGCAAAAGCCAAGTCATTACTCAAAGCTTAAATTAAAGGCTCTGTCTAAACCATATGAAATCTATAATTTTCCTGTCAACACAAAGTGGATACACAAGCTCTGTTAATGTGCACTATTCAGTGCCTGGCTGCTCTTTTACCTGATGTACCGCTTTAACTTCTGTCTCTTATAGAGACACAGTGTCAGTGCTGTTATGCTTATGTGATACTGAAAATACTTGATCTTATCATTTTATCATCAGTTTTCTTCTTCTTGTGATGTTTATTGGCGGTTTGCAAGCCAATTAAGGGGCATTACCACCACCTGCTGGATGATGGAACGACAATAGAATAATGACAATAAAAAAAGGTTCTTAGAACTGCATAAACTACTAAGTCCAATCCAAAATGCCTATATCTGCCAAGTAATTAATAACGATTTTATATGGTTATATCAGCAGTCTTAACCTGAGATGCTATTATTTAGTCTGGTGACTCTGAATTACCTGTAGGAGTGAGGGTGAGTATGTGTGGCTGTAACATGGGAATTCCTGTGTTTTTTTTGTTTTGTTTTTGTAAGTGTAAGTGGCTGCCCATTCTTGACCCAATCTCTACATTGTGAATTGTCTAAATAAGCAAAAATATGAGGATAACACCCAGATTTACAGACACCATAATTTCTTTATAATATTGAAAGCACACTGGTTTGTATTTTATTTCAGCATGTTCATTAAGCTACCTGTCTTCATTTTGTTCATGAAAAATGTGCTTTTTCATAGAGGAAGTATCTAGTCTTTGAAATCCTTAAACCTACTGGAAAACAAAAGTGTTGTTATTCATACTGATCAGTTCCATGCTTCGGTCAAAACATTGTCAAATGATTTCCTTTTGTTAGCAGTATAGCACTCTTCTGAATAGATGCAATATTCTGTTTATCTTGCAAGTGAAAAGTTATCACTGCTCTGGTAGCATCATGCCCTTTACTGATAGCGATGACTGGGTCTTTTAAGATTCAGATGCAGCTTGTTTTGCTTGTATAATATAAAAAGGTGTGCAAGGTTGCATAATTACATGGTTACATTTTCTAATAGTACCACATTGGTAAACATCTGGTATCGTCATATTGTTTTATCTTCCTTATGTGAGTTTCAAAGATGTGTCTGTAAAACAAAGGGGTCCTATGAATGTCTGAAGAGGATTATAGTGTTTGTCTTTTCTTGCATATCATTGATCAGGAACACAATAAAAGGTATTAAAGCTTTAGAAAAATAATTTGTTTCCTCTTATTAAATGTTATTTGACGGTAGCATTCTAGGTTACAATTTGATAGATATCCATTAGTGCAAGTCTGATGTTGTATGTGGTACATGCTTGTATACATTTAGAATGTAATGGAATAATGCACAGTGTTTGTCTCTACCATTTCCTAGTCAAATGTTGAGCTTCTACAGAAATCTGTGAATGTGGCACAATGGAGTTCTAGCCAGGCAAAACTATACTGCATGATGAATTATGTACAAACTTGATCTATTACTTGACCAGGTAGGCTATGTTTACATCAAAACAGTGCCTGATTTAAATTCTATTTATTTAATAAACCACGTGAAAATGGGCACAGTGATGTAGTTTTGCTAAAAACATGGTCGATTCTTTGGCCAGAAAAAAATTATTCATGCAAATGGCAGCTGAGTAAAACCAAGAGTGTCAATTGACCTGAAAGATGGTAATCATTTAAACACTAAAGTCAAAGATCTTTTTTCAGAAATTACCTGTCTGCATAGAAACAAATATGTCAAATATGGTTTTGTTCATTTAGAACTCCCAGCTAAGGCGCAGGATCTAATGTGTTCTGTACCTTTTGCCGCAAAGAGCAAGTAATGTATGTAAGCTTTGCTTTACTGAGTTTTGGTAGAAAATTAGGGCTTTTTCCCTTTTTGGTCTTGAAGAACAGGAACATCACTGTCCTCTGTTCTTCGCCTCCTCTTTCTCACCCTGCTTTCCTGTCTGTCTGTATTGCACTATGGAGTAAAAGCTGAAAAACTAAAAGGAAAAAACATAAAAGAAAAATTAAAAATGTCTAAAAATGTGATGTACAGATAAAATGGATTTAGTCTCAAGCCTGCAAATGACCAGTGTTGATTCAGATTCAAGAAAAACCCATCTGTGGAGCACCTCATTTAAAAAATTTCTGCAGGCTACCTACCTGTCATTAAAGGTAGCCAAAAACTTTGTCCTTTTTCAGATGCACCAGAGAACGTTCATGCTCTTTACTAGTAGAGTTCTTACGTAGCCTTGAAGGAATAATGACTATAACAGCTACAGAGTATAATGGTTTTAACATGGCCTCTGCAAAAGAGCTTGTGCCACTGGACCTACTCACTGTATTATGTTCAAAAGGGCTTTCTTTATTGAAGCTACCAAATAGGCTGATATCTTCTTTTATAACCTAGGCAGACAGATACAAAAATGAATACCAGCTACAGAGGCCAGTCACTTGTGAAGAATTGGAATCTTTTCATTTGGGTTTGAGCTGCTTTGTCTGCAGGGCCTTTTGTAAGGATCAGACTCTTCTGTGGAGAAGCCCAGGCTACCTTCCCGTTAAAATGAGGCTAGACTAGAGAGAGGTATTGCTGATAATACTTGGATTACCCATAAACCCTGCATACCTGCAAGCTGCATGCAAGTCTGTGCTCCTTTTCCCTCAGCAGAGGGCCAGGATCCAGGGATAGTTTATCCTCAGCTTACCACAGTAGTTTCTTACTCTTCGATATTCATGTCTCTTCCGAGTTCTGTTTTTTTCCCTTGATTTCTCTTCAAGGTCTTGCCAGGCTAGTTGCGTGACTAGAGGGAGTGGAAAAAAAGGTTTCAAAACCCATTGGCATGCGAGCCCCAAATCTATTTTTGGAGAGCACTCTTTTTTTTCTGTGAAAACAAAAAGCCACAGGGAGGAATAGGCTATACTGGAGTAAAGGGGGTCTGTTTCTCATTTGGCCAGGCCTGCCTCCTGTCCTGCACCGCCAGCATCACAACCACAACATTATGGGGAAGAGGGTGGCTCAGACTAGGGAGGAGAAATGTTTTTTTCCTGTAAAATCATGGCCAAAACTATGGACCCTCATCTTAGACCTTGTCACTTAGCAACCAGTCCAACCTGCTTCCCATTACTAGGCCATCTTCTTGTGTTTCAGGCTTTACTTCATTTTGTTTTGTTTCACCCCTTTTTAATGTTTGTCTCACATTTGCAATGATTAAATGACTGTATTTAAAGTCTTCATTGTTAATTTACTTTCATCAGGCATATAGGTCTGCTGCAGAACCTTTGTTTGTTTGTTTGTTTTTGGCATAATTCCATTCTGCCTTGGTGATTTGTTGC